TTTCCCTACTAAAACACACACACTAAACCTGGTGATTAGCAAATGAGTGCAACCAGGTATGTTTGAGCAGATAAATTACCAAACTGTGCTGGACACCGGCCCTCCAGGACCAGAGTTGTGCACCCCTGCTTTAGAGAGTAGGTATTGTGCCAAATTCTGGCTGCCCTGCAAAATTCGACTCCCATTCTCACGTATCATGCAAGAATATGGATGCTATGTTATGTTCACAATTTTTGTTGTTACTATCAATCTCTTACATTTGTTGTTTCTGTCTATCTCTTTAATTTTTAGTTCAAGAATTCAGGATTAACACAAATCAAATGTGCTCTGTTGCATCCATATGCCTGTGTGACGTGCATGCAAGCAAAAGGGGATTTGCCGCTCTGCCTTTTGTATAAAGTGACTGACCACAGCGTTTAGCTACACATTACAAGTTTTGTCCAACCTCAATGAATAGCTGGATGCAGTTTAAATAGATTGAGAGGAGTTTTGGGGAAGTATTTACAGAAAAGATTTGGGTGACTTTTGACTCGCAGCTCCACTGTACATGATGCTGGACATGTCCTAGGTGGTTGACTAGATCTGATGTAAATTTGATTTTTTTTGCCAAACTATTTATTTAAGAAGCTAAAAATCCAATAGCTGCTAATGGCTGATATAATTTTATATGGACGTTCAACAGACTCCAGTCACTGTCTGTTAAAATTCTGACTTGTCGTAAATGACTGTTAGTTCTCAATTCAAAGAAATTTAACTAAACTGCAGAAATTCATAGCCGTATTGTATTGTAGCATAAGGGACAGGTATTCCCAGCATTCATGGCTGTTATTAGCTCTTACATGCCTTGTTTTTCACTAGTTTTCTAGTTCAGCCTGTATTACAGGCACCCAGTGACTGACTGTCAGTTTAGCAATCTCTGGATACAAAAACAAACTGGTATAAGAGCACGAAACATGAAAATCTTCAGAAATGAGAGATTTTCCTAACATTGTGTCAATAAAAACGTGCTGTATCAGCAGGTGTATTAGCTGATATAGAGAAATCCGTTGAAATTTTAAAATTGGCTGATTTTATTGGTCAACAAATGTATCAGCCAGGCCCTAGTCAAAAGTTGTCAGTGATGTTGAGAGTTGCTGCTCTCCAAAGTTTTGAAGGGCAAATGCTTTCAAGGAGAGAAATCTGGGAGCTCAGAAATCTGGAACACACACATTCAGAAAATGAATAGGTGTCACTCGGGCTCTCTCTTCAGCTTAATGAAGTCGAGCCGAATTCATCACCACTGCCAATTCCCCTGCCAATCTTATCATTTCATCTCATCAAGCGAGGTAAAACAGTGCCGCAGCACTGGCATCACCAGCTGTTTACGTAAGCCACCAATTAATTATACAACTCAGCAAATAAATAATGAATCCATGGGGGGGGGAGCTGAGTGACTAGGAGTTGCTCTTTGAACCTGATGCAGAGCGTGCAGTTCGGCCGGCTCCTGTTTTCCAGGCCTTGTTATGTTAATGGCTGTGGTCTGATCTAGCCAGGACAGCTCATGTAAACACAGCAGGAGCAAGTGTCCACAATGGGTCACCCCTCTCAGGTCATGCCCTCTCCACAGTCGGCTAGCCAGAACTGCCTGCTTAGAGCATAGACAGAGGGCTCAGGACGCCATCTGTGTGTGGCAGAGAAGAGAAAGAAAATGGAGAGCGAGAGAGAGAGAGAGGCATTAGAGAAGCCACTTCACACAGATAATCCAAGCAAAAAATGATTATTGATCTCTTGAACCGCATTCATCCCACTTTCATTAATGTTTTTACTTCTCTTTTTATTCTTACCCAAAAAGTGAGGCACCAGCTGTGGCTGCATTGGCCAAACTCCTTCTGTTATTCCAGCATTTCAAAAGGGGTCGATACAAAAGTAGGCAAAGAGCTGAACCACTATTGACAATGATTCAGTTTGCTCATTGCACATTTCACCAGAAACAGTGACGCAAGCTATAAACAAGTAATAAAGTGGATAGGAGTATTGTCGTAAAAGGCAAGAAGTGCGGATCAATTGCGTAGGTTTCTGTCAAAAAAAGAGAAATTCTCATGGCAGCATGGCAAGTGAACGTGCTGAAGTATCTTTCAAGCATGAAATGCCAAGTTCTCGCAAAACAGATGCCAGACAGTTGTGTCTGGGTAAAATCATTCAAGCAAAAATCTGTACCCAGGTACAAGAAAGCAGAGTTTGATGTAAGATGCCTTTCTAAGTCTAAGCCTAGCCTCTTCTATTAGGCTTTTTCTGTTGGACATATTAAAGGAGGAACAGACTGACAATAAAAGTGCTTGTTTCCCGCAGCAGTGGCTGTAAGCGAAGGCTGATTAGGATTAGCGTCTCATTTTAATCAGAGAGGTGACTATTCTCACCCACTCTTCTCGGCGGCTTCCCTCAACACTGCTCCCAGCTGATGAATAAGCCTAGATGGTTTCTTCCCAGTACATTTGCATGGGAGCTCTCATCCCTATATAGAGTCCTCAGCTTCAGCAGGCGTTTAACAAAGAGCAGCATTTGGGATGTTTCATATCTCAGCCCTGCACATCCCTGACCCCAGCTATGCTAGAAAGAACATCATGCTTCTACATCTTCACAAGACTGCAGTGTGTTGTTATTAGATTTTTAGCCCCAAAACACATTTGGTCCTTTCTGTGACAGGCTTTAGGCTTCTGAATAATGTTTTTTTCACCCTAATTTTAATTTTTTTTGCCTCAGGGCAAAAAATGGTATATGGTATAACTATAGTACAAAAGCAAAGATCTTTTATTAATAAAACATGAATTTACATATAATCAAACAAGATTCATTCCATTAAAACAAATCCCATCAAACAAAACACACACAGAGTTTTTTGGAAAGATCAGTTAAATAAAAAAAAAATTCAATACCAAAAAGATAAACATGTTTTTGCAAAAAGTTGAGTTATTGAATCAGACAGCCTTGAATGAGAAAACTGCAAAAGAAAAGGTGTTATATTAGCAGTAGTTGAAAAGTGATAAATCATGGTTAGAAATCTTCAATTATATAGCAACTCTCAGCTCCGGTCGTGGAAACCCATCGGCCTGAAAGGTTAAACTGTTCTCTGCTCCAACACATTGCCTGTTTATTGAGGCCTTCGTTAGTTGGATCAGGTATGCTGGAATAGGGCACGGTTAAAGCCTTCTAATATGCAAAATGCAAAGGGTGGGTTATTAGCGCCTGAGACATAAAATGTTGCCTTAAGGCATTGCATGGTGAACATGCCTTAGAAAGTCCTATTTGAGTTGAATAAAGTTTCACCAGAGGTTTGGTAATGTCATTTTGTGAGGGATTTGACTGGCCAATTCGTATGAAATAAAGAATCTGTGTCACTTCACCAAATTACACCAGACAGCCCAGATCGAAACGTCATAGCTGGGACATTCACGTCAGTGTTAAGATTAAAAATAAATGGGTCCGAACAAACAAACATTAAATAACTCCCAGTTAATATCAGATATATAGATTAGCAGATCTATAGAACAGCTTTATGTTAGTAAAATGGGCTCATTGGACTTAACAAATGTTTCCCAACAGAAATCAGGACTGAATTCGCACTGCCCTGTGAGAGGTACTTTTAAGATATTTTCTTTTCATTCTCCTCATAATTAGGCCATCAAAAATGTTGTAGATTACAGTAGTCCTGTTTTGAACTTGAGGATAAAGGAACTGTGCTAAGTCAAACATTTTTGCAGTTAGCTTTGTATCCTGGCCTTCCAAAAACAAGTGGCATCATCTGTTATTGATTTTTGTTGTTATTTCACCATGAGGTAAATTTTAACAAAACTGCTGAAGCAGCTGTGGGTTTGATGAATTATAGAAGGTAATTCACTTAGGAATCATTGCGTAGCAGACTTGTAAAAACTATGGATGCAGATTTGTACTGGGTTAAAATCTCGTCATGGATCTCATCAATTACAGCATCTCCTTAGGTAAACTAATCCAGCTCAAACAGATCCAAAAAAAGCAAAGGGGATAGGGAGAGAGATCTTCCGGCAGTCTTTCATAGTGAGCAATCGTATCACAATCTGGCACTCCCTCACAGACAAGGCTTCACAGGACATGAGGGGCTGGTGGGGGTTCACCTCCTGCCCACTGAATCTCCTGGAACCGGAGGAAAACACAGTATCCTGTCCCCGACGCTGCCACTAACTCAGTGTCGGACAGCCGCCGTATCTCTAATCTCTGCAGCTGATCGATGACTTCAGGGTTGGCACAGCTGTTCAAGGAGACACTATAGGGGCAAGGCAATCCTTCAATTTTCTCCCACAGTCGACTGATGCACTTAAAGGTTCGCTCTCAAATACACCCATTGCTGTCTGACAGAATGTTGGGGTCTCTCTGAAACATTGTCACCTTTCTGCATCTTCGTCATCTCTCCAACCTGAGTCATGCTGCTAATCATAACCATCTGTCTCTCTGCTGATGAGAGCCCCCCTACACACCTCACTCTTAAAGAGCCAGCCTAATGTCTGGAATGTGGCTGAGTGTCATTAGCAGAGTGGAAAATGAGGGATTTAGGGCAGGACACTTTCAGCCTGTGTTGGGCCTTGCCAAGCTGCTATCTCTGCAGTGCCAGCCAGGGTAGATGACTGGGAGGCTGCAGAAAGAGCTCTGCTGCTGAAGTGTTTTGTTTACTTACTCACCTTGTCTAGGTACAAGACACAACAAATTTAGGCTGTCAGTTGCATGCTGACACCACTCTCTATATATTTTGATCACTGTTGCTTTAATCCTTTAAACACTGAGGACCCATATATGGTAACTACAGCATTTACACAATAGTTTTTTTATAGTAGATACTAATATAGAAGTTACATAATAGTTAATAATTTATAGCAGTTACTGAAGTCTTAAGATTGACTGATTAATAAGCCTAGGGCTTGATACCTATTTGCTTTGTTGTGGCTATGCAGTGTTCCTGTTCTGTACTGACTGTTCTCTCTCTTTTGTTGCAGCCTGAACCCCTACAGCTATGATGAGAGCTGTGTGTCCAGCAGTGTGGACCACCTACCACTGGCTGCCCTCCCCCTCCTTGCCATCGCTGCACCACACTACCAAGACGCTGTGGCAACCGTCATTGCCCGTGCCAATCAGGTCTACCACAGCTTCTTGCAATCCCCTGATGGACAGGGCTTTGCTGGACAGGTTTGTCTTTACTACTGCGCCATACAGTGATTGTGCAAGTATTTGTCAGAATTGTGATGCACGTCTATATTTACTTACATACAATAGTGGATTCATGAATAAATGACTTAAAACAGTTCTTTAAAATCCAAACATGTTTCACCCTAAGTCAAGCAATATAGCTAAAGCATTTATAATGCTAACATCAGATACAGCAACATAAGGTGATTTTTTGCTTATGCAACACGATTCAAAAGTCAGAGACTTTTAATTTATTAATTTTCAAGTCAAAATGGCCATAAAGTACAAGTTTTTCATTTTTCCATATCAGAAGAAAAACAGGAAACATATTTAACAGAAACAAATTAACACATAAGCCTCCAACACTAAGTATAATATCAAATCTGTCTTTATTAAAATGTCAGCTCTGCTTTTGTTCAGTCTACTGCACTGTTAACACTTCCATCCTTCCAATCTTAAAACCAATGAGTTACAGCTATCCTTCCAACAAAGGCTGTTCCTGAAAGAGTCACTGACATTCACACAAGCTACTACACAAACACACCTTAGCTGCCTCATAGATTTCTTTCTCATGTGTGTCTTAAGTGACTGAAGGAGATTAGACAATCTAACTGGAAAAGAATGGGGAAAGTCAAAGGAAGAATAAGCGAAAAATATGGAAAAAATACTTTGCAAAACTGGATTTCAAAAATGATTAAAAGAGAAAATGGAGCTCCTAACAACTGTGCAAGACCTGTTAGATCAACAAAACTGTTACCGTCAGAAACAACAGTGCTTGAAGCTTTTATCATTAAGAGACAGAGGAGAAGAGAGTAGGAGAGAGAGGAGAAAATCAAGCTCCACACTTACATCAGATCTGAAAAAATCCACATTATCTGTCCATCATTCCACTGTATGAAGACAACTCAAGACTATGAGTCTGAAAGTGTAGGTGTCAAGACGCTCTTACTGAGAAAAGATATAGACAAAAAAGGAAATTTGCACTAGAACACTAAAACTTGTTTACGGGCTGATGAATAATTGGAATTGGAATTACTTGTATTGTGAAAAGCAGCAAATGCATTTTCTGAGACTGAACTTTACAAGGATGGAAAAATATCCCTTCAGATTTTTTTGAAAAACTGAAAGTCTCCTGAAAAGAATGGAAGCTTTAGTGCTTTTTTCCTGACACTGAAAAATGAATAACACCTGCTTAATAGCCATTTTGAAATGGTATGAAATAAATGAAAGGGCGGTCTCTGACATTTGCAAAGTACTGTAAATCACAAGATCTCGCAAATTTGTTTGAGTAGAGATTTTTACCGCTCCCTGGTCTTACTGCAGTAACTTTCCATATAACACATTGTACATCAGTATATCTAGCTGTGTGGAGTTAATTTTGTGTTTGTGAGTGACTGATTGTTATAGGTAAACTTTAATGTGAGTCATGTTTGTTTTCAAGACAGATGAATACTTAATTGATCATTTCATCATGGTAGATGTATGTTTTATTTGTAAACATTTAAAAGTAAAAAAATACAAATGTAAGAAGTACATAAAAGTGCATTACTTTGTGTACTTTGTTTCCACATGACTAAAATGTATCAATTATTGGCAAAAGCAAGTTCATCTGTAAAACTATGTTTTACATATTACAATAAAAATGATAACATGTAGTATGTTTTAATCATCTGGAAATGATGTACACATTTGAACCAAGTAAATTTAATGCATTACTTTGTTCAGCACAGATTCGTTATTGGCTTCACACTTGGACCCATAGCTGTGAGGAAAAAAGCAGAGGAGTGGGGACGCTAATAGAAGCTCTTCTCGTTTGCTGTTTGTCTCATAATAGACCAGTAAATTGAGGTTTTTGTATTGGTAGGCTGGTCCTAGAACAGCAGTAAAGGGCAAACTTCCAAGAGAGCAGTAGTTGGTAGCATAAGGGGGGCTGTCTGAGTCATCAGTGATGAGTCATTCCAAACAGAGCGAGAGGGGTCTCTCTCTTTGCGCTGCTCCTGCTCCCTAATCTCACATGATTAATCCAGTAATACACTCTTGTCAATTTAACACGCACAAATGATTTCCAGAGGAAGTGGCCACTGTTTTTAATCCGTGTGCAGCGCGTCAGCTCCTGAGGGTACAGGCGCATCAAGAGAGACGCCGTATGAGTAACACATTAACCCTCTGATCCTGGAAAAATCATGCACGTCAGTGATAAGGCTTTGAGATGTCGATTAATTTGGGCCTGGAAAGCCGATATGTTTGTCACAGCATTTCTGTTCTTGGGAGATAGCGGAAAGAAGGTATTTTCTTTTGATAACTGCATTTTCGACATCCAGACACAGCTAGAGCTCATTGTCAGACATTCATCCACACCAAACAAGTAATTAAGAAGCTGCAACGGCGGCATTTCAGATGTGCTGCTTCCCTGCTCTAATTAAGAGTGTTATTGACAGTCGGATTGAGCGGTAGATTTAGCCACCACCAAGCCCTCCTGCTGTTGAGCTTTGGCTGACAGCACTGACTGCTTTCAGAAGGGTGGCTCTGACTCGTGTGTATGTGTGTGTGTGCACGTGTTTTTGTGTACGCTGTGGGCCAGGTGTGTCTGTTGGGCGACTGTGTGGGTGGCGTGCTGTGTTTTGATGCTCTATGTTTCAGCAACAGCCCTCAGCATGGCAGCCCCAGCCAGAGAAGCAGACACAGCAGTACGGAGAGCTTGAAGGTATGTATTCAAAGCCTGAACCACTTTTGCTGGCTTGTTAGCATGACCCTTTGCCCTGTCTGCGAGTGACTTGGGTTGTTTCCAAACCCATTTCCGAAATCCACTCCTGCGTCCTCTCACTATCCGTTGTCTAGGGTTCTTGGTTGTTTTTTCACTTTCAGTACAGTTTTCCTCTTAGTCCACGCTAGCCTCTTAGAAATGCAGCACTTCAGTCCTGCTAAGCACTCTGTCCTGATATTTCAGACTCCATTAGTCACTGCATTTCAGCGCTCTCCAGATACCTCCTCTGTAACTACCACTGAATAAAAGCAAAGTTTTTTCTCTTTTTGCTCATTTATGTAATGGCGACTCTCTTGACCTGGCTGTGTCCCACACTACAATCCCACGCAGGATAACCGGGGGCTCCTGGGAGAGGCTGGCACGGGCCTGAGCTCCAGCAAGCGCCTCAGCAAGAGCAACATCGACATCTCGGCCCCTAGCGAGAGCCGTACGAAGCGGGCCCCGCTGAGCCGCAAACAGAGCGATTCATGCGACGCTGATTCGTCCAGCAGTCAGCACCATCCGTTTATCAGCAGGTACTCTTTACAAACATAACATTCATGGACCACAGAACAAGAGGTGGGGGGCACCTGGACTGTGGCTTGACCTGCTTTTCTCCTATACAAAAGAGTAATATGTTCTTTTTTGGAATATGTTGACTGTGGATAACAAAATATGTCATTTTATATAGAGGTTTAACCCCTTAAAATCCCAGGCTTATGACCTACTAAGGCCTATTATTCAGAAACTACAGGGACTTCAGTGCAAATTGGCTGAGCTCTTCTTAGGTTATAGAAGTGTGTAATAAAACTTTGGGCTTGACGGTGGGCCCTGGCCATTTAAGGGGTTAGTGACAGCAAAAAGCCTATAACATAGCCTATAAGCCTATGATAGTATTAAATACAGATCTATCCTGTAGGGGAATAACGATGTAATTTGCTTTGATACCGTACAGTGCTGTCTCAATTTGATACATTTCCAAGACAGCAAAACGTTCATTATATAATGAACAATGCATTTTTTATGCATGTTATGAATATGTTATGCATTATATTCATGTACAGTTACATCTCCATTGGAATGTAGTGGTTAATATGAGACTCAAACAACACATTCAACAGACTGGAGCAAATAAAGTATTATTAAGTTTGATACCAATTATATTGCATGGTATATAATAAAACTGAAGCAAGTTAGCCCACAATGACACGTCATACAACATAAGCAGTGTTAAACTGTATTATAAGCAGTTTTAAACTGAGTACTTTCTACTCAGTTAGCCAAGTTTTTTTCTTCTCCTATAAAGTTACCATTTCTGAAATATGAAGGTGTGTTATGACAGTAACAATACAGGATGAAAATCGAGCCACTATATCTAACTTATAGGCCTACTGGGTCTACATGTTTCACAATCAATGCAATAAAATAAACTTTTTATTTGACCTCTGCGTCTTTATGATGGATTGGTTTAATTCTGTGCTGATTTGAATTTAACCAACCAGGCTGCTTTCTGTAGACAATGACAAACCATGCAACAGTAAGTGACTTATATAAAAACAAAAGAATGAAGTGCCAGAAAATGATAACTTATATTTTCAATTCAAAGCAACACACATACTCAGACATCCATGGCAACACATATATTCAGAGAGCGCTGAGCTTTCATCAGCGTTTTGCCACTACCTTGTTACGATCACGACGACACAAATCTGAAACATTTGTTTTTGTATTAAATTTTCCTGATTTTACCTCATGTGGATTGATGGAGTGTATATGTTGATTTATTGTGATAAGGCAGAGCGTATGTGTATAGCTGGCCCTTGGCCACAATATCAGTGAACGTGTCAGTCTTCTTCACCCTGCCATTTATCAATATTTGCAGCATGACGGCATGGCCCGTCTGCCTCCCGCAGTCTGCTAAAAATAGTCTGTGCCAGGATACATGGGCAGGAGGAGATGGAGGAAATTTCCCCGTTTGGCTCCTGTTTTGACATTTCTGCCGCAGACCTGGAGCCTTTTCACTATCATATAAGATAAAATCATATCATAATAATGCGTTGTGGTTTGTTATGCAATCTGCTTCATTGGTGGCCAGACTGGGTCAAACATGCTGTTAAAATCTCTCATTTACACGCATTTTTCTCAGCATGATTTGGCAACCCTACCTGTCGAAACCTCATTTTTCTTCACTCTCAAGTCCACCCACTGTGGAGATAACAGAGCACCACTGTCTATCAACAAAAAATATTAAGTGCAGTAGCCTTACACACACTTTCTGTGGCTAACCTATAAGCTGTAAGCTAAGCTGTTTGTTTCTGTCAGCTGTGGTGACTTCCACCATGACTTCTCTAAAAAGTTTGCTCTTAAAAATAAAGGTCCCAAAAAGGGTTATTTGGGGTAATGCCATAGAGGAATAGTTAGTTCCCTAAAGAAACTTAAATCTCATTTTATTTGTATAGTACACTGTAGCCCCCTATAGATTGTCCACAGATGTTCAAATTGAGTGTTTCCCACAGGCTTGAAAAATACTTCAGTGCTGAGATGGGAAGTGGGGGGGCAGGAGAGACACCTACTCTGAAACATAAGTAATGCTTATGTCCTATAAATACACTATATGGACAAAGGTATTGGGACATCCCTTCTAATTGTGAAATTTCTGTCCTGCTAGATCTGCCCCTGTCAACTGTAAGTGCTATTCTTCTGAAATGGAAGTGCCTAGGAGCAACAACAGCTTAGCCACAAAGTGGTAGACCACTCAAACTCAGAGTTGGACCACCAAGTGCTGAAGCACACAGTGCCTGTCCTCTGTTGGATCACTCACTGAAGAGTTCCAAATTGCCTCTAGAAGCAGGAGCTTCACAAAATGGGTTTCCATTGCCGAGCAGCTACACACATGCCCAGGATCAAAATGCACTATGTCAAGCATAGAATGGAATGGTGTCAAGCATGCTGCCACTGGACTCGGGAGCAGTGGAAATGCATTCTATGGAGCGATGAATCATGCTTGATGGATGAGTTTGGGTTTGGTGAATACCAGGAAAACATTACTCGCCTGACTGCATTGTGACAACTGTGAAGTTTGGTGGTGGAGGGAATAATGCTATGGGGTTGTTTTTCAGGGGTTGGTCCAGGCCCCTTAGTTCCAGTGAAGCAAGGTCCATAATGACATGCCTGGGTGAGTTTGGTTTGGAAGAACTTGAGTGGTGAGTCCTGACCTCGAACATCTTTGGGATGAACTAGAGAACAGAGATTGCCAGCTGGACCCTCTCGCCCAACATCCGTGTCTGACCTCACAAATGCTCTTCTGGATGAATATGCAAGAATTCCCACACACACACTCCAAAATCTTGTAGAAAACTTCCAGGAGGAGTGGAAGCTGTTATAGCTGCAAAGGGTGGACCAATTAATGCAAATGAATTCAGAACGAGATGTCATATTTGCTCCTGTAGGTGTAATGTGTAGGTGTCCCAATACTTTTGTCCATTTAGCGTACCTTGTAATGTACCTTGGTGTACATATAGATGCAACACATTCATGGAACAGTCATGCTGTTTATGTCTGCAGTAAGGTACAGGAACGTATTAATGAAGATCTTTTGGGACCAATAATCAGATTTTATTTTTGTTTTACACTACAGTAATCCAGAGTGTGATGCAATACTGTGTGACGGCATGAAATCATTGTCTTTTGGTGCAATTGAGGCCTAGATTGTTTAGACTGAAACAAATTTGTCACAGAATTGTAGGTCAATCTTTGGAAGGTGGTTTTACAACAGCCTATAAGAAAAGTATGGAAAGATCAGCATGTAATATTTTGTCTGATTCATCATGTGTTGTATGGCGAATGCAATCTTTTGCCTTCAGTCATTTCACAGCACCAAAATCAAGAATTGGTTTAGGAAGGTAGGTTTAGGCATTCTTCAGTCAGTTGTGAGAGTAGACTGTTTAGATGAGTGTACATGTAGCAACATATACACTTATTGTGCAATATTAAGGGTTGTGGGGAGCATTGTGGAATCTGGTGATGGTGTGAAGTGTATTGTTGTGGTTTCTTGTAAGATGTGTTTTGTGATTGTCTGATTGTTTGTGAAAGTGCCCCGCTTTGTAATAGAGCAGCTGTGATGCGAGACAAATTTCGGAGAAATCTGACAATAAAGTGTATTGTATCACATCATATAAATATTTTTTTCTGCATGTTACTGTGCTATTTATACCAAACGCCTCAGTGAAGAATAGGTGGAGCAGGAATGTCAGATTGTGGTTGGAACTAGACTGGATAGGAAGGTAGATCTCCAGGACCAGGGTTGGTGACTATTGCTTTTGAGTGAATGTCAGTTTGTTCATGTTTCTGTCAACAAAACAATTTAGAAATGTTTCTGAGTGGTCAAATTCAAAGCAGGTTGTTTTTTTCAAAACAGAGTAATAAAAATGCTAAACATTTTTAAAATAGATTGAAATATACTTGGGCAAATGTCCATATTCCTGAGCGCACTGCCAAAGTATAGCTTGTGTGTGAAACACTGAAATTGGTAACAAGATAAAACCGGTAAAACTCAACAACTTTAGGGTTAGGATTTAGACCAGGGTTAGGGTTAGGTTTGAATTTATGTTTTAGTTTGGGATTAAGGTTCTAGTTAGAACTATGTTTAGGAAAAATTAGGGTGAATTTAATACATATTTAGGTGAATACAAGTTAAAGGTAAGTATCTACAAAGCATCTAAAACAGTGGTTCTTGAACCAGTCCTCAGGGCTAGAGATAGTCTTTCTGGGGGACCAGTCTGAAAACCACTGATCTAAAGTGTCCTATTTAAATAAAGTGTGCTATCAAAATAAAGTATGACCAAACCTTTTTTGAAGTTGAAAGAACCTCCGTGTTTATGTCTATACCAATTAAAGACTCATAGAACTGCATGGTCTCAACCAAGAACCTTTTAGGAACCTTTCATCTTAAGAGTGTAGTTTTGCAGAGAGAATTGAAAATGATGTTCAATCATGTGGTAGTCAGCATGAAGAGGTTTCCTGTAATAGTGTCGTCTTTGTGTTTCACATTAGTAAAGCCTTTTGTTGATGTTCGGTTGAGGTTCAGTCATATGTTTAAGATAAAAGGATGAGACACACTCATATGTTGGAAGGGGTGGAATAATGCTCTTTCTCAGAAAGAGCTCATTGCCGTGGCAACATGGCTTGAACTAACAGCTGCTCTTTGTCTAAATCCCTGCCTCTTGAGAGGCTTGACACCAGCAGAGAGACTTCTCAGTACGGTGCGGTGTACCAGCAGTCAGTAGACGCTAAAGCACTCAGCTAAAGCACTCAGAACGGCCTCTCGGTAGAGACGCCTCTTAGCCATCCTTGCTGGGAGACTTGCCTGCAGCCCTGGCCTCCCATTGGCTTCTCCGTTGCTCCGCCGCGGTTTACAATGTGGAGGTTTTTGTATAAAAGTGATGATTCACTGTTGACACGGCTGATAGTGTCTGTCCGGAGAGAAACACCTCTGTCTGACCAGTGCTCAGATTTCTTGTCTTGTCTACATTTTGCT